ATGTAGATCAGTGAGGAAAAGAGAATACACTTGTGCTCCGCCAATATCAGTCGCGGCAAGTTCTCGGGTTTTGTCGCTTCCCTGGACAAGCTGCCTGGTGCTCAAAAGTTAAAGGGAAAGTTCAGATCAATTCGCCAGCTACCAGCAAGGCAGTTGTGCAGCATCTCAGCCGTGGATGAGAGCTGAGGCTCCTCACAACTCAAAAGGGTATGATTGCATGTTTAAAGCCCAAGTCTACATTGGTTGGTTATCAAGTTCAGGATTCCTGAACTTGCTTTCGTAAAAGTAGGGGTAACCTAGTGAAAGGGACCACCACGTCGCGACCCTTAAGAAAATGGGGCAGCGTGCGAATTACGCTATATGAGACAAACCTCTAGCGAATTTCGCTATTTGGAGCTAGCGTAGAAGACGGAGAAGGTCGCCGCGCTCCGATGGTGTTCGCGGATGTGAGCCTTCAGCTGCTCTGTTGCCGACGGTGCCGGTTCCACGACCGGTGTTTCCTCTGTCGGTTCTTCTCCGACCGGCAGCGTAGACGAATTTCTAGCGACGGGTTAAAGGGTTGCGCGTATCGACGCCCTTGCTCGTTCGGTTGCGCTTTGCTGTTCCGGTTCTCGTGTAGCTTCTGCTTCTATCATCACCACTAACGGACGTGCATTCTCTACCCCGAGTATCGTATCGGAGTACCAGAAGCCATCCTGGTCGAAGCCTGGGTCCGGGTCAGGTGGGTGTGTCCAAGTTGTGAAGGATATGATGTGGTCGCTGTCGCTAGTGCCAAAGACGCCCAAGACCAAGACGAAGACGCCTGACTTTTGGACCGCCCTGCCGATGAAGAGTCCGCCCTTCCCGTGGTAAAGCCGAAATTTGGGGTCGAAGCTATTGTATTCCAGGTGAATACCCTTGGAAATCAGCTGGCTAACGCTCAGTATGTTGTATTCGAGATTGTTGACTACAAGTACTCGCGACATCTGTAACATCACGCTTGTCTCGAGTGGTTGTAACTGAACAACGCCTCCTTTAGTGTGCGCAAGTTCTGGTTGTTGGCAACGGTGATCACGACTTCTCGAGTCAAGGTCTTTTCTCGCTGGACGAAGCACGGCAAAGAACACATGTGCTGCCTGCAGCAGCCGTCGACAATCCAAGTATCTCATCCAGATGGTTCCTCGCGTACTATTGCAGCGCAAGTCAGGTTTGGTTGAAGTCTGGTTTGGTTCGGTGCTGGTGGTCTCTCTCTGAGATCACAGTTAGGTGGAGAGTCTGGAGCACAGAAATCAGTTCGCGTCATGCAACTGACGATGTTTCTTGTTCCTTGCACAGGTTGAGACGTTGGTGCTGGTGGGCGTTGCTGAGTCGATGCGACATGATTGGTAGACGGACAAACTGGACGAGGTTGATATTGTTGCTGCTGTTACCGGGGTCTCTGTTGCTGCCTTGGACAGTTGGAGCACGAGTGCCTGCAGAGTTTTCTGCTATAACGCGAGCTTCTGCGGAATTGCCTGACGCAGATAGAGCTCTCTAGCTCTGTGGTTCTCTGTGTTTCACAGAGTAGCTTGAGAAAGCTTAGGTATACAAATGCACTAGAATCAAGATTACAAAGTATGGTACACAAGGCAAACACTAGTACTACCCCATTGAACCTCATTGAACACGGAGAGAACGTTCGCACAAGAACGTTTACATAACTACTCTATGCTGCGCTTAGCCAAGTCAGCAATGGCAGGTGAAAATTACACCACATGCTTAGTTGGTAAATTTTACCCACTTAGTAGTTATTTTAACAGTTTCAGATATGAAACTGTCAGATGTTACGCACGTTTCCGCAGTTACGAAATATGCATCACGTGTTCAATTTCTCAATGTCGCAGGTAGATTTTGCCGTTTTTTGGTCCAGATTGGTTCTGAGGTTTACTTACGAAATCGCAAATTTCTCGCGATTTCGGAACGCACCTTCATCAGGAAAACTAAGTCCTCGTTTTCCTGTCGAAGGGGTCGCTCGCAGAAGCGGAGTCCGAGATGACTCTGTGCCGCGCTTCTGCCGAATTTCGTTTCTGCCGAGGGGGTCGTCAACAGAAGAGATAGCCGAATTGCCTTTCTGCCGAACTTCGGCAGAACGCAATTCTGTGCGAGCAGGTCCTTGCGCCACGCTGCCCGAGGTCCTGTTGGAACGCATTTTTGAGAGTCGTTTCTGCCGAAAGGGTTACCCGCAGAAATGTCTTCTGCGCGATACTTCTGCAGAGGACAACCCTTCTGCGAATGGTCCCTGGTGCGAAATCAGCGGAGGGTCTTGTACACTCTTGTTTCCTCCAAGACTGCTTCTACAAAAGCACAGAATTCTGTAGAAGCCATATGCAGAAAAAACTCTCCTGTTCTGCCACTCCGACAGAACCGCTTTTCTGCCACTTCCCGCAGAGCCTCGCCTAGTCGACAAATCTGCTCTTCGTTGATGGACCTTTCTGCAGGGCTCGTGTCCGCAGACTTCGTAGATGTGCCGCTTCACAGACTTCTGCAACCTTCGCAGGATCAGGGCTATTCTCAACAGTGCTTGGATGTGCGGAAGAGATGTGCCCGGATGTTATGTCGCCCATGCGTGTAAAATGAGATCTGATGACTTGGCTTTTTGACGTGTCGTTCCTCGAACAGGTCCATGTCCCGCTGCTCGGCGTAAAGTTCGGCACTGAGGTGCATCTCGGAGATTCTCCCGTGGGTCTGTAGGAGCGAGCGTGTCGTATGCCACTACGAACCGAGACCGGTGAGGATGATTGTCACGGACGCGTCTTCTGATAAGTGTCCTTCGCTCCGTAGAAGTCTGCCGTTTAGTCATCTGCAGCGATTTATGTATGTTATTGTTTTCCCCACTGCTTGCATTTGGATCGTCGTAAGCTGCGCCATGATTAGGCTTTGAGTTACACTGTCGAATGCTTGGTGGACACTCTTCAGGTGGCAGTAGGCGAGCTCAGCCGAATCGCCGAAGTTTTTGTATGTTCGAATGCTTTATTGTCCTGTCGGTGTTAGATTGCGCATGAGGATGGTGAACGACATACGTGACTGATACATTCTTTTCTTGAATAGTCCCATTTTCAGGGAATGGCCAAGAGCCGGTGAAGTAGCTGAGGATTTGCTCGCCGTCCATCAGCAACTCGATCTTGAAGCTCTAGATAAAGAAGTCTTTGCCATTGAATGGGAAAGACGTTTGCAACTTTAGGATGTTGTTGAATTGCTGTTGCATCCTCATGATATCCCTTTGTCTGTCGCTTTGCTCCGAGGCCGTCAATGGTGCTGGTGTTGGCAGGAAGGTATACGAGTTGGGTGAGGATTGGTAAGGCTGATGTTGCGTGGGTCGTTGATTGTTTCTTCTGTACGATGATCCGTTGAGGCTCATTTGTGCTGCGCCACTGTTGGCGTCAATAATGTTGTTGCTGCGTGCCGATTCTGCAGGTGCTAAATGTTGCTCGTGCTGCGATATGAAGGAGAAGAAATTCTCCACGAAGACTAGGTCAAATCCCGAGGAGGAGGCCATTGGATGTGTGGAAGCCCTTGTAGTTGTGCCTTGTATTCCGCCTTGAGTTCTGACGGCCTCTATTTGTGGTTCAAAGAGGGATAGTGCAGATGCCTCGTAGCTGGTGGATCCAGTAGAGGATCCTCTGCCTTTGATGATGCCATGTCTTGAATCTTGATGATAAGGTTGACATTACTGGGAGTGTTCTGATCCATGTTAGAAACTCACTGAGGGAGTTTGTAACACGAACGTAGTTTCCGACTGGCTAGCATACCATGTTGGGCTGATAATAGCCCTAGAATATTTTCCAGAAACTAGGTCCTTGTAAACTGAGGGCTTGATAGCACTGCGGAAGTCTGAGTAAACCCTTGTACTGGTATGTGAGAATAAGATATTGATAGTAGCAAAAAGGATACAAGGTTATATAATAATACAAGAGAACATGAAAGGTTTGACTAACTGTGTACTTCGAGGGGTACATTCCCTTTACGAATCGATAAGAGCAACTTGGGTAACCACTCGTGCTGTAATAACGGGACAATTATGTGTCCTTGCTGTCGTAGTGACTTTGACTCAAGTACTTCTGCTGTTGGGTTACAAGGTCAACAGTCTGCCCAGACGCGAGCGTGCTGCAGGCGAAAGCGATGTCCGGACATGTCACAGGATCCAATGTGTCGAGGAAAGGTTGCTCTATCGATCAGTACAAGGCGTTTTTATACTTCCAAAGTACATCAGGTAACCAGGTTTATCTTATCCTAAGGGAATAGACCCATCTAGAAAATAGAATCACCCTGCGTATAGCCACGCGAGGCTATTGGCTTTAAGGGATTACGACAGGATTACGCTAGATATAGCGCACCAGTGCATCCCGAGCCTGGTCGGTGATATAATGATAATAACACGATAAACCAAAGGATAATGGAAAATGGAGAATAGGAAACCAAATGAGACGAGATAAAAAGGGGAATGTAATAGAAAGGAAATAGGGAAAGGAACAAAGTGGTGGAACGGGGTCGTACTCTCACACTTCCCCCCCTCAAAGCTGGGTGGTAGACGTAACACCCTGCTTGACAAGGTAGTCGCGAAGAGGACGACAAGCGTGATCCATCTCGGATTCAAAGACCCAGCTATCTTCTCAAGGATCATAACCCTTGCAACAGATGAGAAGCTCCACGGTGCCATTCCGTCGACGGCGGTGAGCAAGCACGGACTCGACATCGTACTCGGGTTCATCATGGATGAGGACGGGCGGCGGCGGCGGCGGTTGGCATCCAGAGAAGACCGTGTTGGGATCTCAGTAGGGCTTCAAGAGTTGGACATGGAAGGCGTTGTGAATCTTCCAGGTAGCTGGCACGCGTAAGCGGAAGATAACAGGAGTGACATGTGCTTCAACGAGAAAGGGCCCACAGAAGCGAGGTCGCGGTTTGGATGGGAGATGGCTGATGTCAAGATTGCGCGTGTCGAGTAGTACTCAGTCTCCCACGGTGATGGTGTGGTCTGTGTGGTGGCGATCGGCTTGGCGCTTCTGTTGTTGCTAAATGTCGAGAAGGCGCTTGTGGGTCCGATCCCAAAGTTTGTGCATGGTCGTGATGAAATCATGAGCGGGTTGAATTGTGGCTGGTATGTGTGGCTGTTGAGGTGTGAGTGGGTGGCGTCTGTAACAGAGGAAGAACAGCGTTTGTCCAGTAGCGGCGTGAGTAGCATTGTTGTAGGCAAACTCCAGGACGGGCAGATGCAAGTACCATTCAGAGATGTCGTCCTTGCAGGCTGCACGGAGGAGTTGCTCCACAATTTGGTTGAGGCGCTCGGTCTGTCCATCTGTCTGCGGATGGTAGGCGCATGACATGGCGAGTTTGGTCCCGAGTAGAGACATCAGTTCTTTCCAGAATTTTCTTGTGAACTTAGGGTCTCGGTCGGAGATGAGTGTGGTCGGAATGCCATGTTGTGAGATGATGTAGCGAACAAAGAGTTGTGTTGTCTCCTCGATGCGTACTGTGGTGTGTGTCGGGATGAAGTGTCCCATTTTGGAGAACTTGTCAATGACGACGAGGATTGCGTCATGACCGCTCATGGTAGTTGGTAGCCCGGTGATGAAGTCTAGGCTTACCACTAGCCATGGCTGTTCTGGGACAGGAAGAGGCTGTAGCAGACCCGCCTTTTTCTGCTTGCTGCTCTTCATCCACTGACATGTAGTGCACGAGGTGACAAATTTCTGTACGGCATCTGCCATGTGGGGCCAGTAGAGTGTTTGGCGATACCGGTGAGCATCTTGTTGCTACCGAAGTGTCCCGCGTACAGGACGTCGTGGTATTCTTCGAGTAGTAACTGGCGCAATGGAGGGAAATTAGGTACCCAGATCTTCGTTGATCCTTTCTGGCACGCGATGTTGTTGTCCACTGTAGTAGATGCCGCTTTTCTGCCAAGGGAATTTCGGGGTCGATGGCGTACCCGTGTGTGAAGAGTCCCTTGAGGAGTGGATTCATCCCTTCAACTTGGATTGCGGCAAAGTGTGCAGGCCGGCTAAGCGCATCTGCTTTGTTTTTGTGGCCAGGCTTGTACACGATGTCGTAGTGGAAGTGCGTCTCGAGGAAGTCAATCCACCGGACCTGCCGCCTGGAGAGGCTTGGTTGCGTCTTCAATGGTCGGTATAGACTGTCGTCTTGCGTCCTTCGAGATAACATCTCCACGTTTTGAACGTGATGATGATAGCAAGGGCCTCCTTGTCGTGTATCGGGTAGTTGAGTTATGCTCTATGTAATTTTTTGCTGAGGTAGGCTATTGGTTGTAGTCCATTCCCCTGGTCTTGCATCAAGACTCCTCCCACTGCCTGGTCGCTGGCGTCAGCTTCGATGACGTAGTCGCGTTCGTGGTCTGGCAAGATGAGTACGGGTGCGGACGTGAGTGTTTTTTTCAGCTGCTCCACGGCTTCCTGGTGTTGTGGCTCCCATCTATAGGGCGTGTTCTTCTTCAGCAGATTCGTGAGTGGCGCGGCGATCTTCGCGTATTGCGGCACGAACCTGTTGTAGTAGTTAGCAAAGCCAAGGAACTGCTGTAACTCCTTCACGTTCTCAGGTGTCTTCCACGTACGCACGGCTTCGTTTTTCTTGGGGTCGACGTGAACTCCTTGAGCGCTTATGATATGTCAGAGGAATTTGACTTTCTCGAGGGCAAAGTCGCTCTTGGATAGTTTGACGTAGAAGCGTTCTCGTCGAAGAATCTCGAAGACGCGTCGTAGGTGTTCGACGTGCTGCTTCATGTCACGCGAGTAGATGAGAATGTCGTCCAGGTACACCACCACGCATTCGTCCAAGAGTGGGCGTAGGATATGATTCATCTCTTCTTGGAACGTTGCAGGTGCGTTGGTGACTCCGAACGGCATCACCAAATACTCCTACGATCCGTACTTAGTTCGGAAAGCAGTTTTGTGAACGGAATCGTCCGCCATTCTTATCTGCCAGTATCGGGACCGCAGATCTTGTTTTGAAAATACCGTGGCTCCCCGAAGCTGGTCAAGCAGGTCATCGATTCGTGGAATCGGGTATTTGTTCTTGATGGTCTGCTTGTTGAGAGCTCGGTAGTCGATGCACATGCGCAAGCTTCCGTCCGGTTTCGGTGTGAAGAGTACTGGGGCACCGTATGGCAAAGTGGAAGGTCGGTTGAGTCCTTTGGTGAGGAGATACTCGATCTGCTTCTTCATGTCGGCTAGTTTTGTGGGGCTTAGCCGATATGGTGCTCGGAATGTCGGCTTCGAACCTGGTTCCTCCACGATCTCGTGTTGGTGCGTTCGGTATGGCGGTAGTTCGTCCGGGAGGTCGTCGGGAAGAATGTCTTGGAACTCCTTCAGGAAGTCCTTGATTTTTTCTGGAGGTTTCGAGGCTTTCTCTCCGTCATTCTCCACCTCTTTTGCTATCGCCAGGAATCCGGTGTTGGTTCGCTTGACGTCCTTCTCGAATCGGGCGAGTGTCTCCATTGGGATATCTCCTGTATCGTCCCAGTTGGGTAGCTGGACTCTCCTTCCTTTGTTGAAGATGCTTGCGGTGCGGTTTACCCAGTTGATCTCGGGGTTGAATTTCTTGAGGAAGTCTCGCCCGAAGATCAGATCAAGCCCTTTTATGTTGGTGATGGGGAGAGCAGTTTTCCAGCGCAGTGGACCGATTTGTAGGTGTAGCTCTGCTTCGCCGTACACTGGTAACTTGCTGCCGTCCACCATCGTTGCAAAAAACGCTGATGGCTTGTACTCTTCTCGGTCGATGGTTGCCTTGTCGTAGACGGTGTGCGATGCTCCGCTGTCCACGAGTGCTTGGAGGCGTCGTCCTTTGCAGATGACCTCGAGCACGTGGGGCAGGCGTTGCTCGGAGTACCCGAAGATAGTTTCATTGATTGGGTCATAGGGTACATCCCAATATTCGTTGCTTCCTATTCCTGAGCTGGCAGCTGGCCGAGGCTGCTTAGAGAAAGGCTCTTCTCCAGGGCCCGGAGTTTCCGTGACGACTGTTCGTTTCGTTGACGAAGTTGCCAAGTTGGATGCATCCGAAGAAGGAGTTCGGGGTTTTTACAGCTCCTTGTAGACCCCCTGCTTCCTCTTAAGCTGCTTCAGCTCCACCGACGTCTTCCCTGGGGAATGGGTAGTCGCTGTGGGCTGGTGTCGGGAGAGGACGTTGACTCCGTGGAAAGGTCGGCTTCTTTCCACGCTCCTTTAATTTTTTCCCCAAGTTCTCCGGTACCAGTATGATCTCCACAACTTTCTGCTTCTTCTGGAGTCCCTCCCAAAATTTCTCCAAGGCTCTAGCCCCTCGAGAATTACAAGTTTTCATTAAAGCATCTTTATAAGATAACTTGAACGAATCATTATAATTTCATGGGTCTTCAAGGAGTTTCCCCGTCTTGGCAGAGTCCTTTTTCGCGGAGTTAGATTTTTCCTCGGCGATTTCCTCTGGCGAAGAATGGTCATGGGGTGGAGATTTTCCCCCATCATTTTCTCCTGTTTGCGTCGAATTAGCTGCGTCGAAGTTGATTTTTCCGGAAGTCCGCGGCCGTTTTCGGATCTTTCCTTTTTTTCGCCAGCTAAATCCGCAATCACTAGCGAGTCCCATTTTTTGGCTTCTGATTGGCCAAAAGATTTTCGCCACTGTTGCATGCCTGATACTCAGTGCGTGCGGCTTTCGTTTTGTTGTAGTCGAAGATTGGATGACCCGGCACCCCGCAAAAATCACACGTGTAGCTGGTGTTTTTCGGAGGTGCCCGCCCTTCGAACCTGTCAACTTCCATCGGGTCGGCGAACGTGGGGTGAGCCGAGCGATCGCCCTATCGTGTACTGCCGACGTGCGCCCGTCGTGTCCCGGCGTTGACCATGTCGAAGCGTTCCGCGGCCGATACGACGTCACTGTAGCTCGCGTAGTTTGTCGCTTCCACTTGTCGTTTGACTTCGGTCTTCAGCCCTGCGAGGTACGACTGTACTTTTTCCCCTTCGGTCAGGTCGGGAATGCGGTTATAAAATTCCTCCATCTGCTGCGTGTACTGCGCTACACTCCCGAACTGTCGATGGCGATGATTTTTTTCCCGGGCAAGGAAACCTGAATTTATCGGCTCGAAGCGTTTCAGCAGGTCGATGCGGAACTGCTGCCACGTGGCTTCACCGTGGATGAAGGTGCTCTTACCGCCAATCCACTCGAGTGCCGGCCCTCGCATCAGTGTCGCCGCGAGTCGTACGCGTTGACCGTCCCAGACTGGCGAGCTCCATCCGACGGCTGCGAAGTAGATCTCCATGCCGGCGATCCATCTGCGGACGTCGGAGTTTCTATCGTTCGGATCGAACGGCTCAGGTGGGCGCGGTTTCGGAGCCTCGAGAAACTGCTGCGACTGCTGCGTCGTCGCCGTTGTCATTTCGTGTTGCGCGCCGGCGAGTCGAGTTACTCGCTCGAACTCGTTTCGCCAAGCTTCGCGGTCGGCTCGCATCTTCTCCTGTAGGGCTGCGATGCGCGCAAAGAGCTGCTTGGTAACTTCATTATCGAAGTTCGCCATCCTGTTCAAAACACGCGCGGAGGGGGTAATTCGAAAAAACGCGGAGTTGGTGCTTACCAGAATCGGCGTCGAATTGGTCGCCCCCCGCGGTTTTTCGAGGCAGGAGTCCCGCTGCTGCTGCTTAGATGAGCGCGGCTGAGTGAGAAAAGCTTTGATACCAAGTGTTACAGGATCGAATGTGTCGAGGAAAGGTTGCACTATCGATCAGTACAAGGCGCTTTTATACTTCCAAAGTACATGAGGTAACCAAGTTTATCTTATCCTAAGGAAGTAGACCCTTCTAGAAAATAGAATCACCCTGCGTATAGCCACGCGAGGCTATTGGCTTTAAGGGATTATGGCAGGATTACGCTAGATATAGCGCACCAGTACATCCCGAGCCTGGTCAGTGATATAATGATAATAATAGGATAAACCAAAGGACAATGGAAAATGGAGAATAGGAAACCAAATGAGACGAGATAAAAAGAGGAATGTACTAGAAAGGAAATAGGGAAAGGAACAAGTGGTGGAACGGGGTCGTACTCTCACAGGACGTGTCGTGCAGGCGGCGAACTGCAGAGATCCCACTCTTTGGCGATAATCTTCCTCTGTTCGTCCGTGCAACTCTGCATCGTCGAACGTCAGCTCTTTGAACGCATCGACAGAAATCGTCGTTTTCGGGCTTCGTCGAGGAGGCCCCTCTGGTAGAAAATGTCTCTGCAACTTGTCGATGTAGCCTCTCTGGTGCAGCCAAATCTTCCGAGCAGATCTGTCCCAGATCAGCTCCAAGCCCAAGTACTTCTAGACAGGACTTATCTCTCGAAGCTTGAACGCCTTCTCGAGCAGAGTTTTCAACTCTGCCAAATGCGCCTTGCTCCGACTTGCAGCCAGCAGATCGTCGACGTAGACGAGCAAGTAGCACTTGTCACCGTGCTCGTCTTCGTGGAAGTAGAAGGCTTCGTCGACCTGACTCTTCGACCAGCCCCCGCTCTGCAGAACTCCATCGAGTTCTTCGTACCACAACTTTGGACTCTGCTTAAGTCCGTAGAGACTCTTCTTCAGCAGACAGACTCTTCCACTGCCGTCATCATAGTACTTCGGCTGCTTCATGTAGAGAGGACGGTCGATGGGTGCATTAAGAAAAGTGTTCGTCATGTTGAGTTGCATCAGCTCCCAATCAAATGCCGCAGCTATGAGCAGCCGCAGTAGAGCAGTTACGTAGCTGCCGACTGGAGCATATGTCAAGTCGTAGTTGAGATTGGGCAGCTGTGTAAACCCTTGAACGATAAGACGTCCCTTCTCTCGTTCTACCGTATCGTCAGGGAGATACTTGGTAGCGAAAACCCACCGATTTCCCATCACATTGACGCCAGATGGTGGAAAAACCAAGTCCCAAGTGCCTTGGTCCCACAAAGTCTGCATCTCCTTGTCCATCACTGCCTTCACCGCAGGGCCCTTCCAACTCTTCAGAGCGACAGGGACAGGCATCTTCGAAATGTCCCAACGACGTTCCGGATCTGCCACACGATCTTCTGCAGAGTCCAGCTCCGGCAGTGTTATGTCTTCACTTCTGCCGTCGAGGGCGTTCATTGAGAATGCCGTCAACGCTGCGGGATAACGAACCAGCGGAACTCTTTTGTTAGAGCGCGTCGATCGCCAGAGGGGTTGCACCTCCACATGCGTTTCGTCTGCAGAGTGCTCTTTGGCAGAAGACGACGGCTCCTCAGAAGAGGACGCCTGCTCCTCTGCGGTCGGGTCGTCTGCGGCATTCTTCTACCAATCTGCCGTGCGTCGTTCACTGGGGATGATTGTAACGATTCACTAAAACACGCTGAGCCTCAGGTTTAGCCTCCCAATCCCAAATTACACCCAACCACCCCAAACTTGCCACCAATCGCTTGAGCACACACAGCCATGTCACCCAAACCACCTTGGGTGCCCCAATCCATGTCTGATGGAAATGAAACCAAGCTAACCACACTCCAAACCACATCTACTACTCTTATCAACAATTTCAATGCACCAACGAATCACATTATGCCAACTAGCTCATCCCCAAGCCCTCCAAACGACGAAACCCTAGTCGGCCAAGCTGGAAATCGCCGTTTCCCCTACCTACCATCCCAAGTCAGGTATCACCATCTCTACTTTGCCCTAACCTCGTCATTCTGAAGCTCCCTCTCGCACTCTACGGTGTTGCTCGTCACGAGCTTCACATCCTTGTCGCTGCACCCCTTTCCTTGGCGCCTTTTTCTCTATTTTTTACCATTATTAACGGCATGGTTGAGAGCTTAGAGGACGACTATTTTCCTGCCTCTTCATGTTTAACCTCTTCGTGTTTGTGCATGCTTTGTGAAACAGAAGGACCACCCAAGCTTTGCCAGTGGCGATATCCATGGCGGATAAAATTCCAAGTTTGCGATAAAATTCGATTGCTTTGCTATTTTATTTTCTGGTATGCGATCTCTCTTGCTCTGTATTTCTTAATAGCACTACAGCCTTTGGAAGTGATGTGCGACAAATATTTCTCTTTTCCCCTTTTGGTAGAGGGATTGGTACAGTACATCGAGGCAATTGTTTTCCTCTGGCATCTTCAAACAGCTCGGGATTGCTATGAAGTTGGTATCTAGGACACTCAATAGCGACCACTTGTACCAATTTCGATACCTCCTACCCCTCTAATTTCTTGCCTAACCTACTTTTTCGCAGCCCAGCGCAGGATGGAATTATGTCAACAATTTTGCTCGCAATATTTAGCATTCGCAGGCTCAGTCACTTGTACAAATATTATCTTAACGTTCTCCCATTATTAATCACAACACAGCGAGGGTATGTGGCAATAACCATTTCCTTGATCGTTTATGCATTATGTTTATGGCTAACCCGCTCTGCTTTAAGTGAGCTCCTGCTTTGTGCTTTTGACCAGGGCCTTTAAAGCGAGAATCTCAAGAAGCAAAAAAACAAACCCAAAGGTTTTGGTTTCGGGGGGTCGCGAAAATTGCGAGGTGTGGTGAGTAGTATTGGGGGGCCGCTGTTACTATTTCGCTCATTTCGCCAACCTAAAACCAAAACCTTTGGATTTGTTTTCTCCCTTCTTGAGATCCTCGCTTTAACGTGGCCCTTCTTGGGTTTCCTTTTCCCAGATCTGTCTTGTGTATTTCGTCAGGTTATGCCTTGTACCGTGTAGCGCTAGAGAAACGAAGATGCGATTATTCTCTGTTACTGCTGCTTTTATAGACCATGTATCGATTCTTGCTATTATACCCTATGTTGTTGCACAAGCAAATTATATCAGAGATCCATAAGAATGAAACACAATAAATTGCATGTCTAGATTGTGTACAACTAGTGTGCAAGATGCGTGAACGAAATGTGCACCATTCGTGTGTTTGATGTGTGTTAAAAAAGTATACCGTACTGGTGTTCAAAATGTCTCAACACTGTTAGGATTAAGGACGGAGTCTAGGTGAACTCAGGAGCTAGAATTACTCAAAATATAAATCCGAAAATCTGGACAGAAAATTCGTCTTCACAAGAAACGACGTTGACAAAAAACTAGCCGCTGGAATGTCGCGAAACTTGGATATGGTGTAGCTCTTAATCTGTGCTACCGTTCCCAATTTGAATCACATTGATTGATGAAGTATTCGCGACGCTATGGCTTTCGACGCATTAGGGGGTAAGCTGTAGGAGGAGAACTTAACTCAATCTCAAAAGTTCAATTCAAGTTCAAGAATGTCACAAGGAATTAGAGGAGCAAGAGAAAGGTTGGGATAGAAAGAGAGGGATGAGAGGGAAGGTCCCAAGAGAGTTCCCAACCAAGGAAACCCCATAAGCACAAAGATTCCCTCCCTATAGGAACTCCAACTTTGACATTTGTCCCTTCCCAACCAATCCAACCAAGTTGGCCACCCTTGCCAACCTAGCTTGGTTGTTCCCAACCAATTTGCAGCTGTTACAGTAGAGTGACGAATTTCCCAACCCCAAAGGTCCCAACTCCATATAGAGTCACCCCACAACTTCACTTTGTAACCGCCGCAATTGTAACGCAAGCTCGTGAACTTTGAAACTTCATAGCTTTCGCGTTCTTGCTCCGATTGAAGGGATTCTCGTTGCGTCGGAAAGATCTTCTCAAGATCTATCAAAAAATACCTGCTCAAACAAAATAACACAAAACACATTCCCAAACTCCAGAACACACACCACATAAATTCTTTCACACACAGTCAAATCATACATGCGAATTGAAACAAGGGATGGGAGGCAGACAGAATGTGATAGCATATGATGACATCACACAACAAACACGTTGTGTGCAAAAAGTCTCCAGGGTCGGGTCTGAAAATTGTGTTCAAATGTTGACTTTCTGGACGGAGTTCGGACTGCGGAATTTTCTGATGTCTATGGACATGGTGCAGGCAACTAGAGAGGGGGAGAAAGGGGTGTGATGGGACGTGATCGGAGCAGTACAAGATTTTGACAGAGGATGTCAGAAAATGGCTGACTGTTTGCTCGTAGCTCAATAGACAATATCCCAACTCCCAGGGGAGGAAGTGGGGGAGGGGGGAAGAAGGGGGCATGGGGTCGCATAAGGAAAGAGGGTTTGTGATGGAGCCAGAAAGAGAGAGTACAAAGCCAAAAGAGGAGTGCAGAGAGGGGAGAGCGAAACTTGGTATCGGCCACCGATGCTCCTTGCCTCTTGACGGCAAGGGAAGCTGAGTGTTACAGCAACTCACGCTGATTCAGAGCAGCTTTTGAGGCATGGTAGGAATGGCACCCCTGAATCTGCAGTTTGCTATGGAGGATACACTGCCACTGCACGAGTGATCTTCCCAGCTCTTCAGCAGTCCAGCTCACACTAGTTGAGAGCAGCCTTTGACGCACGGCAAGAGTGCCAGCCTCCCAGCCTGTTGTCTCCTATAGAGGACAAGCGCGCATGGATGCTGCCTACTACTGCCACCTCACTACCTACTGCTGCGAACAACGGTGCCATATTCTATTACTGAAGACCGATTGGAGAGGAACGACGGTTGATGGTAATGTGAGAACGCAGAAAACACAGGTCAGAGTGGCTTTGAGCTTGTTCTGAGTTCTGTAAAGCATGACGCTAATCCAGAAAACACACGTTGAAATGGATTTGATAACATGTAAGAGGTTGAGCGGGGCTGGAAGAAAGGGCAGCAAGTGCATAAGGGAGGGGGGGAGGGGGGGTATGACCAGACAAGGGCCCACCTTCTGACCCTTACTCACCTTGATCACCAGCGATGCCCCCATGGCATTGACCTGAGGTGACCCCTTTGACCTGATCAGATGGGCTGGCCCTATGGCGTTGACCTCTAAGCTTGCCATAATGGCCTGTGGCATGAGTGCCCTCATAGACATGGGAGATGAGCGAGTGACTGAAGGGAAGAGCGGAAGAAAGGGGAGAAGAATTGAGAATGAAACGTGAAGCTTGAGATCATGGCATGTGGGGTGAATGCATGTGGGGTGAATCCATGCAGGGTGAGTGCATGCGTGGTGAGTACATGTGTGGGGTACGAAAGAGCATGCCTTCATGGAGGTCTTTAAGATGATGGGGAGCAGGGAGGAAGGTGAGGAAAATAGAAGAGGAAGAAGAAAGGGTTGAGACTCTGCATGTTGACTGCTGGATGATGGGTGCTGCATGCTTGACACCTGTCCTCCCCCCCCCCCCCCCCCCCCCCCCCCCCCCCCCCCAAGTATGTGTCACGCAATCAACAACACAGCAACACATGTGCGCCCACGGTGCTCCCGTTGTGTTTGCCTCATGTCAAGCAGCATGAACCACGCACTTGGTTTCATGGCTCCTAGCATGTGCAAGAGGCCAAAAGCATTTATGAGGAGATTAAGATGCCCCCATGCAGCTAATACATGCTGTGCTGCTCCATCTTGTGACCCCTCTACACCAGCACATGGGAGCGTCCATGCCATCACATGCGAGCGTGCATGACATCACATGTATGTCACACAACCACCATGCCACAGATGCAACATGCAAGCAAGCAGATGCAACATGCAAGCAAATGCAACGTGTAAGCAGGTGCAACATGCAACTTGCAACATGCAACATGCAGCTGATATTGTGGATGCTGCGCATTGGGATTTCTTGTGCTAACTCTGGATTGTCCTCTCAATTAGCAATATTTTCTCTAGTGATGTGCATGAAGCTGGCCTCGTCGAACACCACAAAAAATCTGCGTGTATACTTATGAATCGATCCCAGCTGTTGCTACTGTAGGTGGGTAGTTTTCTCGTGGGCGGCTTCTTGTTCATCGATTCCATCGAATCTTGCCCACAGAGCCTTGCATCCCACACCCCAGATGCGATACGGGGTCCACGCGAGGTCTCGCTCCACTCCTGACTCAGTGCCTAGGTTCGCTCTCGTTGGTCACTCAGGGTTGGTTGGGAGGTGGTTGGTTGCACATTGGTGATGGCTGAATCCGGTCGTGGTTAGTCGGCTTTGGGGGGTGGCTGGTTGGACACTAGGGGCGGCTAGTTGCACAGTGGCAGTGGCTTGTTGCATTCGGGGGGTTTAATGGTTTCCCTCGGGGGGTGGCTGGTTGCACAGTGGCTGGTTGCACAGTGGTAGTGGCAGGTTGCATTCAAGGGGTTGATGGTTGCCCTCGGGGGGTGGCTGGTTGCACACCAGGTGCTAGCAGGACCGTGCAGTAGTGGAATGGTCTTTGGCGATTTCTGCTAGTGACACTCGTGGTAGAATGCATTCATCTACGTCATCCATATGCGAATGCCTGACCATCGTCATGTTGCTGCTTCAAAATACGGTAATCGTTGCGACATCAACGCGCACTGCTCCACAATCGAGAGACTTGGCGAAGGTAAGTCGAGGGCACTGGCATCGACGTGATAGACCTCCATATGCTGCGTGGCTTTTAACTGCGACAAGGTATTGGAGTTGCCGCCTAGACTCCCCCCTGCGCGGCGTACTACTACTGCTGCTGCTGTTGTTGTTGTTGTTGTTGTTGTTGTTGTTGTTGTTGTTGTTGTTGTTGTTGTTGTTGTTGTTGTTGTTGTTGTTGTTGTTGTTGTTGTTGTTGTTGTTGTTGTTGTTGTTGTTGTTGTTGTTGTTGTTGTTGTTGTTGTTGTTGTTGTTGTTGTCGTGTATCCCATACCAAACACTCTGAGGGGTGTCCCCAAAACAATTGCCGAGATAATTTCAGGTTATGTTTGGGACTTCTTTTTAATAACATGTCACGTACTTGACATGGACAATAATTTGCTACTTTGACATGGTATCACGCTAGGTAGGTTCGACGCTTCCACCCTAGCCTACCTTATGGCGCCGCGTCTTAGAGCGCCCCGCCCCTTAGAGCGCACCCCGCCTTTTCACGCCCCTGCCCTAACTAGTCGCGTTGGCCCTAGCTCGTCGCACTAGCTCGCACTGCCCCTTAGAGCACGCCCCGCCCTTTTTGCGCCCCTGACCTAGCTCGCCGCGCTGGCCCTAGCTTGCCGTGCCAGCCCTAGCTTGCCACGGAGGCCCCTGCTTGCCACGTCGGCCCCCGCTAGTCGCGCCGCCCCAGCTCGCCGCGCCGGCCCCAGCTCGCCGCATCGGCCCCAGCTCGCCGGCCACAGCTCGTCGGCCCCAGCTCGTCGGCCCCTGCTCGCTAGCCTCAGCTTGCCAGCCCCAGCTCTTCGGCCCCAACTCGTCAGTCCTAGCTCGTCGCGTCGGCTCCATCTCACCGCGCCGCCCCAGCTCGCTGCACCGGCCCCAGCTCGCCGTGTCGGCCCTAGCTCCTCACGCCGCCCCTGCTCGCCACATCAGCCCCAGCTAGCCGTGTCGGCCCCAGCTCGCCGCGCCGCCCCGGCTCGCCACGTCGGCTCCAGCTCGCTGTGCCACATTGGCCACGGCTCGTTGCTACCGGCCCCAGCTCGCCGCCGACACTGGTGTCTCCACTGCGCCGGCGCCCTCGCTGGCCGTCTGCTCTCCCACTTCTTCATCACACTCCACCATGCTCCACCATACTCCACTGCACTCTACCATACTCCACCACTCACTACTGCAATTTATCACACCCGCCTGCTCCCTGCTCCTCCTCCTCCTCAGCTCTACACCTGTGCATGATGGCGCACGCCGTTCTCCACCTAGACGTAGAGGGTCGTGCGGTGGATTTCGAGGCGTGGCTTGCCAACCTGCTCCGCCAGCTGAAAGGTCCACGCTAGGATGGCCAGTCTCTGGCCGTCCATGTCGACGGTAAGCTGCCCCGCCCCCCCATGCCAGCTGCCCTTGCTGACGACCCCACGCCTGCTGTGCGTGAGGCTTTCACAGCTGATGAGCTCGCCCACTCTGTCTGGAGTCACGTGAGGCCACTGCGCAGCTAGCTATCAGTCTCGCTCTCCCACTGTCCAAGCGTCCCCGCTTTCAGGCCCTAAGGACGGCCAACGAGTACCTACACGCTGTCATTGCTCGCTATTCCACTCCCTCCTCAGCATCTGCTGGCCGTCTCCTCATGCCCCTGCTCTTCCCTGACCTCGCGACATTCCCCACTGTCCCTGATCTTGGCACTCACCTGCGCGCTCTCGAGACTACAGTGACGGAAAAAACTGTCCGGGTGTTTGACACTAATTAGGGTTTTTAGGCTTTTCGACCAGGGTATATAGTCTTAATGTCTAATGATGGTACGCTTTGGGAGGGGCACATAGTGGATGTGTTCAGTACGCTAAAATCCATAGTAGTACACTGGATCTAACTTAGTGCCAAAAGTTATACAAGGGGGTCATCCGGACACTTTTTTCCCGGGACAAAGAGCAAACTTCCAAACAGGTTTCTAGTACCTAGTACACCGACCCTTGGCCTTGATCACCACCCGCAACCTCCTAGGCATGTTATTTACATGGCTAGTGCAAACCGTCGCAGAGATCTTCTCGCACTCTTCTTGGACCCACCCTTTTGCATAAGGGGGTGAGCTCTTGGAAAATCGCGAAGGATTTGAGCGTCTGCAAGAGTTTTGTGCACGATTTCTATTTGAGTGTTACGTATGAGGCTAGCCACACTGAGGTATGACCAAAGATGCCATTAGCCGATTGATTCTATCTTATCATGGGTTGTCTTTGTCGTATCGGTGTAGGGTAAAACCACGAACAGAGCGGCGAAAAATCGTGCATATGCCGTGAAACTGAGGGTAACGTAGCACGGTCGACTATTCATCCTTGCACTATTAGAACCACGCTAGGATCTGCATGTCTTGCCACGGTGCAGCAGTCGAAGAAGTCGCGACTGTTCGGGAAGAATATCGGGGTTGAGGTCTGGTGAAGAAAAGGGTCACTCCAGTGCAACATACTCATGCTCCCCAATGCTCTCCATGCCATTTGTACCGCCTAGGCTTGGAATAGCATTGGAGAGCATGAGTTTCTAGCACTGGAGTGACCCTTTTCTTCACCAGACCTCAACCCAGATATTCTCCCCGGGCAGTCGCGACTTCTTTGACTGCTACATCAAAACGAGAGCTGCGGATCCTAGCATGATTCTAATAGTGCAAGGATCAACAATCCACCATGCTACGTTGCCCTCAGTTTCGCGCCATCTACACTAGTTTTCGTTCCTCTGTTCGTGGTTTTACCCTACAGCGGTACGATGAAGATGACCTATGATAAGATGGAACCAATCGGCTAATGGCATCTTTGGTCATACCTCAGTGTGGCTAGCCTCATACGTAACATTCAAACGGAAATCGTGCACAAAACTCTTGCAGACGCTCAAATCCTTCAAATTTTCCTAGTGCTCACCCCCTTATGCAAAAGGGAGCATCCAAGAAGAGTGCGAGAAGATCTCTGCAATGGTTTGCACTAACCTCGTAGATAACATGCCTAGGAGGGTGCGGGTGGTGATCAAGGCCAAGAGTCGGTGTACTAGGTACTAGAAACCTGTTCGGAAGTTTGCGCCTTGTCCCGGGAAAAAACTGTCCGCATCACCCCCTTGTATAACTTTTGGCACTAAGTTAGATCCAGTGTACTACTATGGAATTAAGTGCTGTGAACACATCCACTATGTGCCCCTCCCAAAGTGTACCACCATTAAACATTACGACTTTATGTACCGTGATCAGATAGCCTAAAAACCCTAATTAGTATCAAACATCCGGACAGTTTTTTCCGTCACTGTAACTACAGTGCTGCTTGTACCCAGGCTCAGCTCACTGTACTTCCTCCCCCCCTCGACGCTACCCTTTACTTCCTAGGTACGCGCCTCCCGGACCACCTAGCCACTGTCCCTAATACCTTCCTTAGTCTCCTTCTTGCTGACCTCACCCTTAGCAACTTCGTCGCCACCCTGTCGGCGATAGAGACCCACCAACGCACTATCGCTCAGTCTAGCGGTACTGCGACGGTCCCTAATTCCAGGGTTGTGCTCCCTCCCAGTGCACTTACTCTAATGTTTCCGCTGTAGTCGCTCAGATAGTCCCTATCGCGGAGGGGGTGACGAGGGGGCGTAAGGAAGGGAAGGGTGCTGGCGGTGACGGGGGTGGCACGGGAGGTGGAGGTGGTGGGAGCGCTGGGAGTGAAGACGAGGGGGTGGGGGCTGACGCCCCTAAACAACAACAGGAGCAGCAACAACAGCAGTCAAGGCAGCCGCAGCAGCAGCAGTGGGTGCCTCTGCTGCTTGGTGGCCATGCAGCTTCGGTGTTGGAGGCCGTGGAGGTGGCACTCACAGCTTGACGTCGGGTGGCGGCTCCAGGTCGGTGAGATGCCAGTACCAGCTTCAAACTGGTCCCCTTCGTGGCACTGTGTGTGATCGTCCTGGTCACACCGCCGCCCATTGCTACCGCGTTTCGACGACCCTTTCCGTCTCCGCTTCGGGCCCGCGTCGGCCCACCCGGACTGGCACAGCCTGGTACAATGCCGTGCGCCAGTATTTCAGATGGATATTGATCAGATCTGCTCTGCTTTGTATGCCATGTACGCTGATGACTCTAGAGTTACTAGACCTTATTACCCTGTGTTGTCAGCCCACGTGTGACTGCTGTGTGTAGTTAAGGCTCCCCTACTACATCAGGCATAAGACCTCCTTACTTGTTTAGCCTTGGCTCCACGCTAATGCCCCTGCCGGCTGACACTACTGCGACGCTCTCCTTTACGCTCGACTCTGGTAGATCCGCACCATTCTTACGCCGGTTTCAGCACCCGCAGCAGTCTCCCTTGCCGACTCTTCCTCTGGTCTGGTAATTGCACGTAGCTCCACCATACTTCCCTGTCCGGCGGTTCCCTCAGGCTCTCTTACAGGTCTGCGCATCCCCTCGTTCTCCAGGAACCAGGTTGGTGTCGGCAATCTTCAGGATCTCGACGTCACCACCACGTTTCCTGGACACGAGCGGTACGCATTCTGTACTGAGACCGCCACTCGTGCCCCCCTCACCACGTTCCCCCAGGACTCGGTGTCTGGCCTATTCACGCTAGACACCGCGTCCCCCCCTGGTGGCTGTGTCCCCCTAGGTGGCTGGGTCAACACCGGTCACTGCGGCTTGCCTGTGTCGATCGCTCACCCATCCGTCGCTGCTGTGGCACCACCGCCTAGGTCACCCCGCACTCCCACGTCTACATCACATGTCCCAGCACGGTATTATCTTTGGTCTCCCTGCGTCACTCCCTACCCTCACTCCCTCAATGTTTCTTTCACTCGCACGATGTCATTGTGACAAGTCTGTCTCCTTCTACACCCGCTTTACCCACCGAGGTCTCTCTATTACCCCGCCTCTGTTCCTTGTCCCCACTCCCTCGGTAGCTCCCGCTCCCCGTCTTGCCCCGTCTGGTGTGTCTCACATCACTCCCCATCCTTCGGCCCGGCGGAAGAGTCTGCTGACTCAGAGGGCACAAAGGCTTAGTGTGAGCCACCCTCAGCCCCTGTGCCTCCTCCGTCGCCGTAGCAGCAGCAGTCACCGCAGCAGCAGGGGTCAGTGGACTCTTGGGGGTGTTGGCGCTAGGGAGGCTGAATCTGAGGAGGTTTCTAGTTCTGGAGGTGTCCCTCCCTCGGGGTGCTCTCGTGGTGAGAATTAGAGGTACCCGTGGTGCGGCTGGAGGTCCTGGTGTGGGTGCGGAGCAGCAGCAGCAACCAACAGTGTCCGCCCTTCGCTTCCTCGGTCTTCCCTCTCTCGACCGCCCGTGCCTCCCCCGACACCGCCTCCTCCTCTTGTCTACGGCCCCGTGTTCCT